ATGCTACAGGCCCAATATAAGTACCCTGGGCCTTTTGGTTATTGAGAAGAAGTTGTTTGAAGATTTTAAGACATCTGACCCCAGTGACCTTGAAAGTTGGTCAAGGTCATTTATTTGAACAAGCTTTGTAGCCCTTCATCCCAGCATGCTACAGGCCTAATATAAGTACCCTGGGCCTTTTGGTTATTGAGAAGAAGTAGTTCGGGCAGGTGAGCTTATAAAAATTTAATTCACATCGTGGCAACATGATTATATAATTATCATTGTACATAGATATGATTCATTTAGTGAACAGTTTATGGTCAATAAACTGGCTATAATGTAAGAAAATAATATTACTATGGAAATAATTTTACACGTAAAAATATCGTCCAGTTATTTGTTTTCAATTTCTGATTTTTACCTTGATATTGGAAAACACTTAATGCATAAATATTTAACCTCTTGAGTTCTGGGCTAATATATGTTGTGAATATGCGATCCAAAAAGATATTTTATTGATAATTATTATCAATTAATGTGCGATTCAAGACCTTCTGAGAATTCAGCAAATATTGTTTCGATCTTTAATCGATTTCGTCATAATCATGAAAAATCTTATCTATAACTTAAGAAGATTGCTCATTCATGCTTATTGATGCTTAACGTTTTAGGTGACATTTGTTATGAAATAAAATGAACCTACGTCATGACTTCACAATGACATTTGTGTAATATAATATATATCTATATTCTGAACACTCTATTTTGACAACATTATAATTTACAGTTATTGGATAGTTATATTTGAAATAAGTTATCCCTAATTAAGACTTTGCAGCGACATTTTTTTTAAATAAATAAATTTTCTGAATACAATATTTTAATAATATAACAATCATATACCACTGGCCACATAATGCTTACCCACAAGTTCTACTGATGTAGTGAAAGCTACATAAAGGTTGTGGTACCACGCAGAAACACCCGCTGTAATTAACATACTTGGGAAGCTGCACTGAGTGATACTCTTCTGGACAGAGATTCATTAACGATGACGAGTCAGTCTATATTAACCCGCTGTAAATGAGAAGTCAACTCAAAATACATTCCTAGTTCGTATATTTTTTTACAAGTAAATACATCACCACAGGGATTTATTTAAGAATAAATATAAGTATAGCACAGGTCCGAATTGTCTAAACAGATTGAAGAATTAAGATAAAAAAAAACTGAAAAAAATATATGCATTTACAAATGAAGCATATTAACTGTCTTACCCTTTGGTATTTTCTGTGATCATAAAGGCCAAACGGGCACAAGAATAGACGACTATGTAATTGTACAGTAGGCGGTTAAGCACATGAAATAGTTTCACTTAGTAATCGTACAGCGATCAAACAAATATAAAAACCGCTGACATTTTTTTTTTTTTTTTTTTTCCATTAATCTAGAGAGAGTGATTCGAGTTGAAAACAAATAACAGTAGAATCGTTCCATAAGAATAGCCAAGGGTACGTCAAACCTTTTCGAAAAATCATACCCAAAGGAATATGAACGCATTAAAGTCTATTTTAAGAAAGGCCAGTATGTGTATGGTGAAGAGCTAACACAACCTAATATACATCTAATGATCTTTTTTATTATTAAATTAAGTTCTTCATAAAATGACATTTTTTGAAAAGCATTAATAACATTTAAAGGTCGAATTTACCTCTTTATAATCTATAGATTATACAAAAATGTTAAGTTTCGTTAGCAGCAATTGTACATGTTTATTGATATGAATAAAATATGGTTTAAACTAAAAAACCAATTCCTTCCGCAATCTCCTTAGCGTGTATTTTTCCTCTTAAATACACTGAAAAAGTATACATAGATGTCAATAACATACGGAATTCAAGGTGTGTGGTCAGTGTGAGTAATATTTGAATATTTAAAAGAGGACCATAATACTGAAATTTGCACCAATTTTCTTTTGTTGTTGTTGTTGTTTTTGTTGATAATTTTCAAGAATAAAGGGTTTGGAAAACAAAACCCGATTACAAACGTGGATGCAATTAACACATTGGATTTATATTCACCTTGTTATTTTCCTCTGAAGTTTCTTGTTTAGTTTAATCAGATGTGTAGCTTCATATTCTTGTTGCTGTAGGTGTTTCTCGGGCAGCTCATCGCATGGACCATGGGTGGTTGTTTTATAAGGATATGGTTTCTTTGTTTTTTCGTAAGGATAAGGTTTCTTTGTTGTTTTGTTAGGGTAGGGTTTCTTGGTTGTGGTTTCTGGCTTAGGTTTATAATGATAAGGTTTCTTTGTTGGTTTATAAGGGTAAGGTTTCTTAGTTGGATAGGGTTTCTTGGTTGTAGTTTCTGGCGTCGGTTTATAAGGGTATGGTTTCTTTGTTAGTTTATATGGGTAGGGTTTCTTGGTTGTGGTTTCTGGCGTCGGTTTATAAGGGTAGGGTTTCTTGGTGGGTTTATAAGGATAAGGTTTCCTTGTCGGTTTATATGGGTAAGGATTTTTAGTTGGGTAGGGTTCCTTGGTTGTGGTTTTGTCCGTCGTTGTTGTTGTTGTTGTTTCTGTCGTGGTTGAACGATGATAATGGTGCACAGTAGTGGAATCTTCATATGTTTTAGTTGTGGAGGGATCGGGTGTTTCATAAGTGTGTGTTTGCCTTTAGTCTATTGGGATAATGTTTCTTTGTAATGATTTCTGTACCATGATGATAATGACA